GACATCCAGGTATGGGCTCACACTAGGATTATAGCCTAAACATTAAGTACATGGCTTTGGTTCAAGGGGTGAAAGGTTGCTCATTTCTCTTCTCCTAGTGACAGCAGAATTAATTCTTTATGTCTCTGATAAAGCCAGCCAGCGATTCTGTCCATACCTAGAGGGGAGATATTTTAGTACAAATACTGAGAAATCTAATCAACGCCTACTAGCTGTTGGCAGCTTTTTTCAGGGAGAACGCCTTCTCCTCTCACCACCATAAATGGAAACACACATTCTTCCACATGCACTTGTCTCTAAGAGCGTACTGCCTCAATCTCTCAACCACTGCGTGACAAGCTTTTATCTTCTTCACAGGCAACTAGAACTATGAATAAGGATACAGAACTGAGGATCCATGGAGCCCTGAAAGCCCTTGTAAAAAAAATAACAACCTCCTGATCAAAACAGAACAGGAAGTTTCCTTCCTATCTGAAAGACTCCTCCCTTACAAATGCATACAGCAAAAGCCGTTCTTCATCCACAATATACAAGCCAGCCTATTTCAATATATGCCTCATGGAAAAAGAGACCTCTTCTCATGGAATTTCATCTTATAATGTGGAAAAAAACCTATCCTGCTTGAAGAAGTAGCCCTTCCCAGTTAAAAACACAGGAGTATAATTCAGTTTCTGGCATCCTACAGCTTACAGCAGCAACTAAATGGGATGACCATGTGTGCTGCTGTGGTTTATTCCTTAACTTTCTGTCCTCACCTCCTGTGAAGCTGAACTAGTCTTCTTTGGTATAGCTCTCAGCAATCTAACAATGGGAAAAATATGTTGGGCAGGAGATCATTCTAGTCGTCCCTCCGGATTTGCTAACTTCCCATTCACGGTTTTGAATTTCTACGGATGGGAAGCCAGGAAGGACAAAATAGTATGTGCGCCCACAGCACGCGTGCAGGACTGCACGAGGGCCGTGCAGCCACTAAAAACTATGGGGCTCCAATATTTGCGTTTTTTTCTGATTCACCAGGGGGTGGGCAGGTCCGGAATAAATTAGCCTCAAATCGGAAGGGACGACTGTATTTCAAAATAATCTGTATCCTTTCTCTCAAAATCAGGATTTAAGGCATTCTGAAGACTTGCTGTTCATCTGGAATAAAAACTGAGAATCTAAGACTCAGTTGCAATTCCCACTACTGAGAAGTTTAAGATGTGGAAACACAGGTGCCTCCTGGTCAGTTTACACATGCACTGAATTTCATAGCTTCAGTTAGAAAAAATATATTCATTAGCTCAGAGGAGTTCTTCAGTCTGCTGCTTCTCCAAATGTTTTGAGTACAAATCAGGGAATAAACTATTCTTTCTTGGAAGATTTGGATATTACAACTTTTAGAAAGCTCTTCTTCCTACAAAAAAGTCCCATAATCTTTTATGCCCTGGAGAAATTTAGCTAATGGATCTTCTTTCCATCAACCACATATCACAACTTGTGACACAATAAAATGGAGAATGGCAGCTAACTTTGGAGACAGAAGTGTCTTTCTGATTTTGCTATGCTCACCAAATTGATATATAAAATGCATACTATGTGCCCATATGAGAGGATTTGTACCAACTTCTCAAAAGGCCTGTTTGAAACTTAACTTGTGTTCCATTTTCTTAAGAGTGCATTTGTCATTCCTCCTAGAATATACTGAGACGTGGTATGTCCTATATAACACAGAGCTCTCATATACTTGTTACAGTTGGGTGGGGACCATGAAGCTCTCCAGATATTACTGGACTACAATTCCCAGCAGCCCCAGCTAGCATATCAAATGGTGGGGATTGCTAGGAGCTGCACAACACATGGTTCACAATACAAAGCAACTCACTTTACTTTTACAGATATTATTTTTCCTGTTGGAGAAACAGGAGGGAAGAGCTTTGTGTTTGGAAGTTCATTTCCATGTACTGACCCAGAAATAAAAATCCTTTCTGCAGCCTTCCCCCCAAGTTTCTTCTACCATATAGTAACTTTTCTCTGCTGTGCTCCCTGCTGCCGTCCAAAAGTCTGTTACAAATCCCATCCCTAATGGCTGCCCATGCTAGCTGGGGCAACGGAATCAGCAGGTCCAAATCATGTGGAGGGCATCAAGTTGCCTATTCTATCCAAGAATGACTTCAGTGCTGTTGCTGTGTGGCTTCAACACATTTTCAACTTATAGTGACCCTAAGGCAACCGTATAATGGGGTTTTCTTGGCAAGATATTTTCAGAGGGGCTTTGTCTTTGCCTTCACTTTTGAGTGTTTTAAGACAGGGCAACACAGGTTGCAGGGCAAACTTTCCTTTTACCTTAGGTAAGGAATGAATTCTAAATCGCTAATGCTAAGGAATTTCTCATTACATTAATCAAATTCCAAACCCATGCCGTAGTATTTTCTAACGCTCTTTCAAGTGACAGAAGTGCTTTCTGAAAGCTAGTATAGCCTAGTAAGAGACACCGCATCCAAAATTAACCCACAAGGTGGTGTCTGAGAAATCCCTCTCTTTTTACCTCAGCTCCCCAAATACAGTGCGAACGCCCCTACCATGGGCTTACCTGTCAAGGAAAAAGCAACATGGGACATACAGTAATAGAAATAAAAATATGTATGTGAATGTCAAAGTGACTAAGCAGGAGCAATCAGGGAGATACACAGGTGAAAAAGATAATATAATTAAGAAGCCTTGAGAGCCAAGGACAAAGTTATAGAAGGTATATTGAGAACACCTGTGATAGATTGCAAACACCTGAGACTCATTAAGTGGTCAAGGTAAAGTGATGAAACACTTGGGTTGGTCTTAGGTATGGGGTGATCTATGTGGACCAATCAAGATGTATGTACACACCCACTGGGTGGAAACTGACTGGTGGGTGGTGTCTAACAATGGCTATAAATGCAATGTTCACTAATGTATATTGTGGAGTAGATGAGAGATATTGTAGGGCATATAGTATTTATTTATATATAGGAGAATAAAGTAGATCTTTTATATAAGACTACTGAGTTGTCTGGTGTCTTGAGGGAAGATACAAGAGCCAGAAGAATCCTGGAGACGTTTGGAGACATCTCAGGAAGAAGAGTGAGAAGGCTTGGAAAGTTTGTCAGGGTCTTCAGCCTATCTCTGAAGCTCTGCTGCTTGGGAAAGAAGCATCAACTGCTGATCAAAACTGGTCAGCTCTGCTGCATAACAAGGTGGTGAGTTAGAGCCAGAGGTGAAGAGCTACAACTCCCATCATCCCTGACATTACCATCTGTGGATTTGCGCATCTGTGTATGGCAAACCCCACTGATTTCAATGGCCATGCATGCACGCAGCCCCAAGAGAATGGCCGCATGTGCCACCATTGAATACTGCAGGACTTAAGATCCCATGGTTTTTGCCATCCAGGGGAGAGGGTCTGGAATGGAACGCTCACAGGTAAGGGCCCACTGTATAATAAGGGGATAACATTGATACAACTGTAAGGACTACAACTAATAAAGGCACGGAAAGAACACTAGAAACCATTATACAGTATTAAGCATTGTTACCCTTTTCCCATATGCCATGGAGAAACCAGTGATTATTTGTCACTTGCTTGTAGAACAACTTGCGCACTGCTGATAATTGCTTCTACAAGTACCTAACAAATCTACATTACCCAGTTTCCTAAAAGCGTGATGCTTCTAACTTGGAAAACTTAGCACTGCATGTTCTTTGGAGCAGCGCTACTCAAAGGGGTAGTCTTTGGACTGATGTCAGTCTGCTTGCCATCAAATGCTGGTTTCCTGAAAGAAACTGTGGTAGCCAATGGGTGCAAATATGATACCGGTCCCTGACACACTGTGGGGGAAATTACTGCTCCAAGCATCAGAGCACCTGAGAAGCACTACTCCAGAAGGCCAGGGCTTATAGAACTGTTGCTTTTTGGTTCTATAAAGGCTGAATATAGAAATTTAAATGATTAAACCCCTCCTTAAACTGCTCCCATGTTTTACTCTTCACCATATGCTTTTCCTCCTATTGATTCTTTCAGTAGGAGCCACTGGCTTTACAGTTACCCTATCCTTATCTTCCTTTTTCTCTAGAAGTTATCTAAAGTGGGGAAGTAGAAATTCTGCCCCCCCCCCCACACACCATATGCCAGGGACCCATTGGCTATTATATCTCCTTCCCGCTTTCCTGGAAACTCAACAGAGACTAGAAGTGAATGGTTCAAGAACCACAACTTGTAATTGGTGGTCCCTGGACCAGTGTCAGTCCCTAGGAAGAAAGAAACAATTACTGTATATGAAGTCGTAGGCTTTCATGGCCAGCATCCATAGTTTTCTGTGGGTTTTTCGGGCTGTGTGGCCATGTTCTAGAAAAAAAAATACTGTATACTTAAGGAGTGCAAATTCAGTGCAAGTTCCTGACATCTGGGGGAAGGAATAGTTGCTGGTCCTCCCACATCAGAGAGCCTGAGGAACACTACTTCCGAGGGCTGCGTTACTCAACAAAGTTTTTTTTAAATATATATATATATATCTGCATACAGAACCTGATTATTTTCTGCTGTAATCCCTCCCCACATACAAACCCTCCCTAACTGAAATTTCCTTTTTCTTGTGTGTTAGATTGTAAGTCTGAGGGCAGGGAACTCTAAAATTAACAAAGAGCTTCCATGGCCGAAGAGCAGGGTATACAGTGGGCCCTTGGTATCTGATGGGTTTTAGTGCCAGGACCTCCCATGGATAACAAACTCTGTGGATGCTCATATCCTTTTACATACACGGCTTAGTAAAATGTTGTCCCTAATATACATTAAAAATATTTTCAAGGCATGGATGGTTGAATCCGTGGATATGGAGGACCAACTGTACTCTAAATAAGACAAATAAATAAATATATACAGATGCATAAACAAATATATTGTATTATATGTTTGTAGAGCCAATGTGGCACAGTGGTTTGAGTGTTAGACTGAGACTCTGGAGATCAGAGTTCAATTCCCAACTTGGCCATGAAAACCACTGGGTAACCTTGGGCAAGTCACACTCTCTTAGCTTCAAAGGAAAGCAAAGACAAACCCCCTCTAAACAAGTCCTGCCAAGAAAATCCCATGATAAGGTTGCCTTAGGGTCACCATAAATCAGAAATGACTTGGAGGAACACAACAACAATACTGTTTGTATACAAAATATTGTGTATTATAATGTAAACCAGGGACAGGCAACCTTTTTCAGACCTGGGCCGGTCTGCCGTCACCCAGGTCTTGGCTGGGCCGAGGGGGGGGGGGAATGGCGGGGCGCATGCTCATGTGCGCGTGCGCACCCTCCTCCACCGCGCGCGACCTCCCGCACATGCGGCCGCCATTTTGGAAGTCAAATGACGACCGCGACGAATTTGCGCATGCGCAAACGCGTCGCGACCGCCATTTTGACTTCCAAAATGGCATCGCCACGAGCGCGGCCAAAAACACGCTCCGACGGCAGCGAGCGGCGCCGGCGCGCGGCGACAGCCTTTGGCCTGGGCCGGTAAGTCCGGGGCCCGGGGCCTTAACCGGCCCCCCCGGGCCGTAGGTTGCTGGTGCCTGATGTAAACTGTTAGTATACAATATATTGTGTATTATATTGCTTGTATGCAATATATTGTACATTATCCTGTGTATTGTTTGTATATCAAATATTGTACATTGTATCATCTGTTTGTGTACAGTTTTGGACATTACACAGTCAACTGTTTGTATACTATATATTGTACATTACAGTGTCTATTTTTAATAATATATATTTTACATTATATTGTATACAGCTTGTATACAACATATCATACATAATAGGTACATAATATATGCAAACAATATATATTATGCATAAATATACAGCGTTGTATGCAAACAATACACACTATAATGTACAATATACTGTTTGTATACAATGTATTGTACATTATAGTCTCTATTGTTTGCATACAACATACTCTATATTATGTTGTCTTATTGTATACAATATGGTGTATATTATAGTATCTGCTATTGTACATTAGTGTCTACTGCTTGTATACAATATATTGTATACTATAGTGCCTAGTGTTTGTATACATTTATCTAGTGCTTGTATACAATATATTGTATATTACAATGCCTCGTGTTTGTATATAATATTTCTGTCTACTGCTTGTACACACTGTATATTATAGTGCCTAGTGTTTGTATATGATATATTTGTCTACTGCTTGTATTTAATATATTGTATATTATAGTGCCTGCTTGTATACAATATATTTGTCTACTGCTTTTATACAATATATCGTACAACATAGTACCTACTGTTTGTATATAATACAATTTCACATTACAGTGTCTATTGCTCAGATACAACATACTTTATGTTATAGTGTCTATGGCTTGCATACAACATATTGTATGCTGTTTGCATATGAACAATATACAACTATACCTACACAAATACAAACAAACACAAGCACCGTCCCTCCTCTTGCTCAAGGCCCCTCCCTCATCCCAAAAACTGTGGGGGATGGTGGAAGGAAGGAGGCTTTGCAGGTGGGAGCCCACAGCACAACTCCTACCATCATCATCCACGGGGGAGGGGGGGCTCACAACTGGACGTCTCTCACAACCTTTCCCCTTTCTGTGTGAAATCGAAGGCTTTCATGGCCAGCATCCATATTTTTTGTGGGTTTTTCAGGATGCGAGACCATGTTCTAGAAGTGAGACCGTATTCCTGATGTTTCACCTGTATCTGTGGCTGGCATCTTCAGAGAATGGTGACATGGAAGTGAGTGTGACCCTTGGTTGAGAAGATTAGCATGTAAATGTGTGTATTGTTCTGTTGAAACAAGGCCTCAGGGTGGGAGGATATGCCAGGAGGATACGTGTGTCTATTTATTGGTCCATTTTCTGCTGAGAATTCGCATGTAATTGTGTGTATTGTTCTGTTGAGGCAAGGCCTCAGGGTGGGAGGATATGTGAGGAGGATTAGTGTTTATTTAATTAATGGTCCATAGACTTCTGAGAAATGCAAATGAACTTCACCCAGGGTCCGAGGTTTTTCCAGCAGACAACAGACCATTAATTAATTAGACACTAATCCTCCTGGCATATCCTCCCACCCTGAGGCCTTGCCTCAACAGAACAATACACACAGTTACATGCTAACTGACATGCTAACTGGAGAAACTGGAGCGTGTCCAAAGGAGGGCAACTAAAATGGTGAAGGGTCTGGAAACCAAGCCCTATGAGGAACGACTTAGGGAGCTGGGGATGTTTAGCCCGAAGAAGAGAAGGCTGAGAGGTGATATGATAGCCGTGTTTAAATATTTGAAGGGATGTCATATCGAGGAGGGAACAAGCTTGTTTTCTGCTGCTCCAGAGACTAGGACCCGAAACAATGGATGCAAGCTGCAAGAAAAGAGATTCCACCTCAACGTTAGGAGGAACTTCCTGACAGTAAGGGCGGTTCGACAGTGGAACACACTCCCCCGGAGAGTAGTGGAGTCTCCTTCCCTGGAGGTCTTTAAGCAGAGGCTGGATGGCCATCTGTCAGGGATGCTTTGATTGGGAGTTCCTGCATGGCAGGGGGTTGGACTGGATGGCCCTTGTGGTCTCTTTCAACTCTATGATTCTATGATAATCTCCAGCAGACAATGGACCATTAAATAGACACACATATCCTCCTGGCATATCCTCCCATCCTGAGGCCTTGCATCAACAGAAAATATGCAGATTTCCATACTAACTCCCAGCATACCATGGATCATTCATTAGACACAAATCCTCCTCACATATCCTCCCACCTTGAGGCCTTGCCTCAACAGAACAATAACACACATTTACACACTAATCCTCTCAATCAAGGGTCACACTATATATTTTTGGGGCTGTAAGGCCGTGTTCTAGAAGAATGTAT